GCTAGAACGATATACACCCACACGAGCTAACCTCAAATCATCAAGAGCTGGAAGGGTAGCCCGATAGCGCATGTCAAAAGACCTGCGCAAGCGAGATGATCCATGATCTGACAAGACGCCACGCAATTATTGCAGCCCCACGGGTTGCTACAAACAAAAAGTTAAGGTTTGATATTTCCTAGACTGATCGGAAGATCATTCACCTCGTGGATGCAAATCGATTTTGTCGATAACGGTTCGTCAAGATGCAGGAGAAGCCGTGGCACAAAAACCATTGGAGGTCGCAGCAGAGGCGGTTCTACTTGGCAGCCGGCGATCGGAAGGCTATACCATTCCATAAGGATAAATGTACCGATTTACGGCTAAGTCCTTTCCCTGTAAGCAACACTTTGAGTATTGTTTACGTTTCAAGTTTTTCATCTTAACTTTTCATCAGCAGACTCATATTTCCCCCCCACTTTGCCATCTTGAAAGGCTTTTGATCACCTCATCTTACGATCATGTGCCTGCAGTGGCGTCTGGGGGGCCTAATCGGCGTCAAACCAGGACATTACCCCGGTCAAGGGTCATTTGCACAGTCAACTTTTTCTGAAAGACCATCCCGAAGTGGTGCCGCATCAAGAGCCGGGCAATTTGTTAGAGTTCGGCCGCTGCCGACGGCCGACAGCCGATGAGGGCCCAGACTCGCCCACACGGCCCGTGCCCGGCTATGCGATATGTTGATTGGACACATTGCTCGCTTCTTTTCACCTCGATTGCGAGATCTGGAGCAGGAATCGTGTTCATAACTCCGAAATCACGGAGAGACACGTTGACAACCACGCTAAGCTCATGCACGTGAGAGGTGACGCCGCCACGTGGATCTGGCTGGTTCCTCTTCTTTTCTCCATGCCGTTGTTTGTTCCCGGATTTCCCCAGATCCCCAACCTATCCCCCATAAGGCAACGTAACGTGACATTTGGGGTTGCAGTAGGACCCTTTTCTGACATGCGTATGCCTCATGTTGTACTCTCGTTCTTTGGAAGCGAGGTCCTTGTTCTCCTCCAGTAAGCCACGTGCTGCTTACAACTTTCGAATGCGTCTCCTTGGTCAAATGGGCCCCTAGCAGCGAAGCTAACGGCCCCTGTCTACTATTTCTGGGGTAATACCCCGGGTCGAGGTCACCCATGGGGTGAGGGTGTGTCACAGGCGGCTAAAGACTAGCCGGGATTTTTTTTGGTGGCGTTTTCCAGCGGCCTCGACTGGCTCTTCTGCTGGGAAATTGAGAGCCAGGACCATCACACCGACCCTCGCCAGTGGATGAACGCTGCGAGCGAGCCAGAATCCTATCCCGACAATTGCCCGGTATGGCTCCTTGGCTGTTGGGCCTCAATTCGTAACCGAGCCCTAACCAGGCGCCACAAAAATGCTTTGCGCCGGTGCTGAGGTTCGTGGCGAGACGGCGTGCTTATAATACTCGGCGTCCCTCGTGTTGCTGCGTCGCTTGGCGAGGCTTGACTTGACTTTTCTCCCGCTTCTTTGCACGATTTTGCCTTTGAAGCATATTCTTGGCACTTGAGGTGAAAGCTTGTCACGATGGTGGTCAGTCAGTCTGTCGTTGGTCGTACCAACGCCGAGAAGCCTCATGGCTTGATGGGCATGCTCAAAAATCCCTATGTCTTTGCGACATGTGCGTTCGCCTCCCTTGGTTGTATCATGTACGGATATGATCAGGGTGTCATGAGTCCCGTCTTGGTCATGGAAAACTTTGAGAACCATTTCCCGTACTTCATGGGCTCAACCGTCCAGGGATGGCTGGTTGCTTCTTTGGAGTTGGGTGCTTGGGCTGGTGCGCTGTTCAATGGTTATCTTGCGGATCGCATTTCTCGCAAGTACTCTATGATGGTTGCTGTTGTGATTTTCACTCTGGGCTCTAGTCTTCAAGCCGGCGCCCAGAAGCCGTCGTACTTCTTTGCTGGTCGTATCGTCGGTGGTATCGGTATTGGAATGTTCAGTCAGGTAAGCGATTCTCTTATTCTTCTTTTCTTGTGCTAATCGGTGTAGGTTATTCCACTTTACCAAGCCGAAATTGCGCCTCCAGAGCTGAGAGGTTCCTTGGTCTCCCTGCAACAATTGTCCATCACCATCGGTACATCGATCGCTTTCTGGCTGGATTATGGTACACATTCCCTTCGCTGTCTATGCATAATACTCTCTTTCTAACCCTGCATCAGGAATGCAATACGTCGGCGGCACTACTTGCAACCCCGAAGGCATCTCCAACCCCTACCTCGCCGATGGCACCTACAACGCTGCGCAGAACCACGGACACACATGCTTGGGACAGAAGACCATCGCGTGGCGCTTGCCCCTCGCCCTGCAGATTTTGTTTGCCTGGATTCTGTTCTTCGGAATGTTCTTCTTCCCCTTCTCCCCTCGCTGGCTGATGTCCAAGCACCGCGAGGAAGAAGCGACCGCCGCCCTCTCCAAGCTCAGAAGACTGCCACCAAACGACCCCCTTCTGCGCGCTGAAATCCTCGAAATCAAAGCTGCTGTTCTCTTTGATGAGGAATCTGAAGCCGAAGCGATCCGTCAGGGTGGCAAGCTTGCCCCCTGGAAGATGCTTTTCGCTCCGAACATGTTCAAGCGTCTTGTTCTGGGATGCGGTATGTTATTCCACCCGTCTTCATCCTAAATGACATATCTAACAATAGTATTCGTAAACAGGAGCCATGATCTTCCAACAATTCACCGGTATCAACGCTGTCCTCTACTACGCCCCTCAGATCTTCTCATCGTTCGGTTTCTCCTCCACCAAACAGACCCTCCTGGCCACCGGTGTCACCGGTATTCTCCAGATTATCTTCACCCTGCCTGCAGTGCTCCTGCTCGACAAGTTCGGTCGTAAGACCTTCCTGATCGCCGGAGCCGTCGGCATGTTCTGCTGTCACATTGTGGTCGCCATCGTGGAGGGCCTGTACGAAGATAACTGGAACAAGAACGAGGGTCTGGATAAGGCCCAGGGATGGGTAGCCATTGCGTTCATCTGGCTGTTTGCCGTCAACTTTGCCTACTCTTGGGGTACGCACATACCAACCACTCCCCTCCACTGCGTCCCTCATAACCAATACTAACCACTCATGAAAAATACAGGTCCCGTCACATGGGTTCTTGCCCAGGAAATCTTCCCCAACAGCACTCGCTCCCGCGGTGTGTCCATCGTCGCCTCGACCAACTGGATGTTCAACTTCGTCATCGGTCTGACCACCAAGGACATGCTGAAGTCCATGAAGTATGGTACTTATATCTTCTTCGCCATTTTCAGTGCGTTGGGTGGTCTTTTCATCTGGAAGTTTGCCCCTGAGACGAAGGATAAGACCCTCGAGGAACTGGATATCTTCTTCGGTGGTGGTATGGATAGTATTGCCGAGGCGGATCGTCTGCGCATGGAGAGAATCTATGATAGTTTGGGATTGTCGGGTGTTAAGGAGGTTGGCGATTTGGTGGTGGAGAAGGAGAAGGGTGAGATTACGGGTGAGGTTGTGGAGATGTCGTAGATGGTTGAGTTGGCTTGGGGGACAGTGTGGTGATAGGGTGGGTGGGGTGTGCAGAGGTGGTGGGTTTGAAGTTGATTTGTGGTAATGTGTTTAATGTGTTGGGTGATTAGTGACTTATAACACTGAAATGCAGTGTAGCTAGTTTGGTAATAATGATTGCTTATATGCAAATACTGCCTTCATCTTCAGAATTTAGTAGGTGGATGGATGCCAATGAGTCAGCTGTCGCCTTAAAATCGCGCCACTACTGGGGTTGTGTTAGTGTGAGTGCACTTTAAGAAGGAACCATTATCTCGGTCGCGCGAGTCATATAATCTTTCCATTTGGAAACTATAATTCCCACTTGATTTCTCTGCAGCAAATAAACTCCGATTTGATAGGAGATAGTATGCTATTTCTCACAAGCCAGAAAAGTGGCTCAAGATCAACTACCTTGTATATCCAAAGGGAGTTTAGGTCTAGATGACACGTCATCCCACTATTCTCTTAGCACAGCAGCAGAGAACAGAAGCAAAAGAAAAAAATAGCCCCGAAGTCTCACAAACCAGGCACCGATCGCACTTTCTCAATACAACATTAACCCGTTAGTAAGTGGTGATTGCTGAAGCTTTCGTTTCTATGCGTTCGGACGAACCCCGGCTCTGCCCATGATATGTACAAGCTAGTGTCGCTTCTCGGTGAAGCAGATGACTGGGGTGGGCGAGTGTACAATGTGGATACGACCGGGATTTAGCTTAGATCCCTGCTGTTCAGCTGTGACAACTCATACTCACCTCCAGTAGGAGCGGGCGAACGCCGATAGAAAAAAGCAAATCCACCCCCTCCCCTCTTTCAAAGGAAGAAAAATAATAAAACTATCGTCTAGAGTTTGACCCCTTCGCTGCCCCGCTGCGAAGCTCTCCAACACACTCATCTCATTCAAATCCGAACCCACATTACAAACTAATTCCAGGCCTTACTTTAATGGTGACTATGTCCATTTGGGCCAGTTTTGCACATTCTTGAAATCCAAAGATATGGAAGCTCTGAGAGGTGATTCCACAGGTTTTTCATTGCCGCCACTGTCCCGAGTAAGCGGCGACTTATGGCAAATGGCATATGATCAACTCGACAATGAGGACCAGAGAGTATTATCACGACATCGACCATCTCCCAAGACAACAGACAGACCGCAAGAATCGCAGACGTCCGTTTCTATTACCGAGCTAATTGACATCATCAAAGCACAATACAAAGACTTAGACGCAGAGGCAGATGGAAAGGCGCGATCATCCTTGATAAATATACTAGCCGCAGCGCTATCATTTCAGAATGCTAGCGTTGCAATTGTGGCTTATGACCCTCACTCGCATGCGGCTATTGCTTGGGAAGTGGTATCTGTTGGACTGAAGGTATGGGGGTATTTCAAATGTGTGTACAGACAGTACATTGCTCCCCGCTGACCTGTTCGGCACCAAGGTCGCCATGAATGATCGGAACCTACAAGATGCTTTATTCGGCAAAATCAATTTTTTTGTGGATACTCTAGCTCAGTGTGCCTGCACCGAAGTCATCTTGAACTCGGCCAACCAAGTAGACAAAGGCCACTTGCGAGTAGCCCTGGTCAGACTTTATAAAGATATCTTAAAATACACAGCGCATATAAAAAGGACACGAGACTCCAGCACGGCATATAATGGATGGGGCCTGGTCACAACGTTCACAGAGCAGCCGTTCACCGAGCTGAATGCTCCTGTCACGACTGAAGAGGACGCTATATCCTCACTAGCTGAATCGATCCAGCATTTACATTGTGAGGCCGAGGCAAGGGAAATCCTTCGTCAAATCGATCAACTGACCGAGTCTCTGCAATGCGGAAGCCTCCGATACATTGTGGATAAACTACCTATGGCGGAAGAAGCGCATCACAAATCCCTTTCTAATACCCATGAGGCGATCTGCCTTCCAGGTACTAGAACTGAGCTTCTTACTCTAATCTCCAAGTGGGCAGAATCTGCAGACAGCGAAACTATCTTCTGGCTGAGTGGGATGCCAGGCACAGGAAAGTCCACAATCGCCCTAACAGTTGCAAACTTGTTCGAAGAAAAGGATCAGCTTGGCGCCACGTTTTTCTTTAAGCTAGGAACGGTGGGACGCGAATCTGCACGATATTTGTTTCCCACTATTGTGAGACAATTGATTCTTCGCCATCAGCAACTGATCCCCGCTGTCAGGGCTGCAATGGAGGACGATCCTGATCTTCCGCACAGATCACTGAGTGTGCAGTTCGAAAAGCTTATCCTGCAACCGCTGCTCAGCTTACGACTTAACCAATCTACCAGAACCGTGATCGTCATTGATGAATTGGACCAATGTGATGAAGATGACATACGAGTAATTCTTCAACTCTTACCAAGGTTGCGGAGTTCGCAATCTGTAAGTCTCCGGATATTCTTAACAAGCCGGCCCGAACTTCCCATACGGCTTGAGCTCATGCTTTCTAATGACCACCGTGGTGAGAGTCTTGATGATCTATCTGCATCAGTGATTGAGAACGACATCAGACTGTTCTTGGAACACGAATTATGGCAGATAGGCTATGAAAAGGGTCTGTCCACACGTTGGCCCGGAAGTGAAATCATAGAAAGGCTGACCAATATGAGTACTCCTTCGTTTTTTTACGCGGCATTAGTTTGTCGCTATATTGGAGACAGACATTGGGACCCGATACAGCAACTAGACCATATTCTCTCTGTACCGCACAAACCTCTGGAAACAATATACCTGTCTGTCCTGAATCAGTTACTCGACCATGCTGATGAGAATAAAACCAAGGATTTCATTCAAGAGTTTCAAGATACGGTGGGCGTCATCGTTCATCTTGCTACACCTCTTTCAGCGCCGACTCTGGCACAGTTAGTCAATATGCCTGTAGACAACATCAAGAAATCGCTGAAGAGCCTTCAAACTATTCTCAATATACCTGAAGATGTGGATGCACCAGTCAAACTTCTCCATTTTTCTTTTCGAGGGTTTCTCAACAGCACAGATACCCAATTCCGTGTGAGCGAGGCAGAGACACATGCAAAGATAACTTCGCATTGCTTTAGGGTCATGGGCCAACATCTGAAACGAGATATATGCAGGGTTTCTAGAGCAGAAGCACGGGGTGTTGATGTTCCAATTGATGTTATCGACAAATGTTTCCCCTCATCTCTACAGTATGCTTGTAGCTACTGGGCTCATCACCTCATGCGAGCCGATTCAAGTCTTATAAGTGAAGTGGAAATTCGAAAGTTCCTCCAGCAGCATTTGCTTCATTGGCTCGAAGCTCTAAGCTTGATCGGAAAAGGCTCTGAGTCCATCATTATGATGTATCAGCTACGTGAACTCTGCCTGGTCAGTCCATTACTATAGTCATGTAGCAAATGATGGAAGCATATGCTGACCCATTTGATAAGGCTGCAGAAGATACTCGACTGGCCGCTTTTATTAATGATGCGTGGCGATTTGCGTGGCAAAATCGTTGGATTCTCGACAATGCTCCGTTGCAGTTATACTCTTCAGCAATTATATTTGCACCTAAAGAGTCCGTCGTTCGCAGCGCATACGAGCACATCATCCCTGCCTATGTGCACCGGTTGCCACAATTTCAACCAACATGGGGTGCGGGATTGGCCATGCTTATGGGCCATGACAAGGCCGTGAGTGTCATAGCGTTCTCACCGGACAATAGGCTAATCGCGACGGCATCGTGGGACCACACCGTAATTATATGGAATGCCGCTACTGGAAGAGAGCTGCAGATCTTGCACGGTCATACAAATGTAGTCTGTGCGGTTGCCTTCTCTGCTGACTCCAAAATGCTTGCTTCTGCATCCTGGGATGAGACCGTCCACCTGTGGGACTCGCGGACCGGCCTACTGATGCATACGCTACACTCTGTCTCCACCGTTACAGCGGTAGTGTTCTCTCCAGATGGCCAGCATATCTCGTCCGCATACGCGGATCGAGTGACCATTTGGAATTCTGCGACCGGGGATTTACAGGGCATGCTCCAACTCCATTCTAGCGTGAACGTAATCACTTTCTCGCCGGACGGCAAGCTTATTGCCGCTGGCTCAGACGATGGCCTGGTGATACTGTGGGGCGTAGATGCAGAAAGACTTTGTAGGAGCTGTGATGGCCACTCTTTCAGTGTGGAGGTCGTTCAATTCTCACCCGATGGTAGACTTTTGGCGTCTGCATCGTCATCAGATGATGGAATCATCATGCTCTGGGACCCCGCAACTGGGGAGTTCAAAGGCTCTCTCATTGACCATCTTGACTACGTTAGTGATGTGAAATTCTCATTGGATGGGAGGATGCTGGCGTCTGCCTCGGGCGATGGTACCATAAAGCTCTGGGATATAGGGACAGGTCAGGTTTCCATGACCTTAGCGCATGGGCAGTGTGCCGTGACAATGATCGATTTCTCGCCTGATTGCACGCTGATAGCATCGGCAGCTGCAGACCGGTGTTTGAGATTGTGGGACGCGGGAACCGGAACGCTTATTAGCACGCTGAAAGGTCACACGGCCCCGGTGAATGCCATCGCATTCTCCCGCGATGGATCGCTTCTTGCTTCTGCATCCAGTGACAGCACAATCTGGCTCTGGGATGTGTATCAAGCCCGTTCGGTGGCCTATGAAAACAATGCCAAGGGGGTCCAGAAGCTCGCAATCTCTCCCAATGGCTTGCTCGTCGCATCTGCGAACACAACAGAGCCCAGGGTCAGGCTCTGGAGCACTACCACAGGACTCCCCTGCGGGTCATTTGATACCAGATCACCAGTACGGCAACTTTCGTTCTCAGACGACGGCTCATATCTGGAAGCGAACGAAGAGCATTTTGATGTAGAGTCTAGCACTGAGGCGGCTCCCTCTACAGTCAAATGCGATAAGCCCGTTTCTATCGACCAGGGCTGGATTTGTATGAAGTCGGACAAGCTTTTCAAGATCCCTCAGGGATATAGTGCTGCTACTATCGGCGGACTGATTGTCTTGAGCGATCCGGCTGGCGAAGTCTCATTCTTAGAAGTGTCTCTGGACTAGGTCTCTTTGAAGTATGATTTCCTAACAAGGTGCATAACAGAATGTTATATGGAGAAAGGTATAGTACGTACATTTCTTGTTAGCAATGTGGCAATTTTACTGCACGTGTTTACTTTGTGATGCGTAGACTACAACAAATCTGAGGGAAAAGGTTATAGGGTACTATGTACTCTAGATGTTGGTGTTCACGGCTCTATACGCTTCATGTACGAAAATTGAGATCATGACACCTCGTTCCGCCAATGGTCTACGGCGGGAAATAGCGGCCATCGGGCAATAACAAAGTTAAGTGTTGGAGTATGCTCACTGCTGCTTTTACCGCATATTGAATATTCTAAAACATAGCTTTCAGCCCTAGAAATAATTATTTAAACATCCACTTAAATAACTACTTAAAAACCATTCCTGAATAGCTAGTTAGACAGACACTCAAACAGCCACTAAGATAGCTTTCATATTGGCTTTTTATAACTTCTTGGAACAGTCCTTCTAATAGTCTTATATCTATTCAATTTAGCGCATGGAACTCTGGGAATAGATTTGATAGCTTCAAATTCTGTGATAGATTCTTTGATTGTTATATTTTATCTTCTATTGATCTATCATTATCTTGCTGGCAGTAAGTCCTAAAAATCGTTATTGTTCGATGTCTGCTACTGTCCCCCGTAAATGGTCCGCTTTTTTCACTCTAAAATGTGGCTTCCTTTTTCAGATTCGACCCACCTTGAATTATCTCCTTGCCGGAACATTTGTTGATCAAATTCCACCAGCATCGGATACTCCTCACGGGGCGACCTCGAAAGACTGACCCACGTTCGCTTGACTGAGTTGAGTACCAATCGGTGCGAATCGACAACAGTGCGGGGTCTAATCATCTCCGGCCGCAGCTCTTCAATGCCGGGCATTCTTGGCAGCATTGTGATAGGAAAGGCCTGACTACCGGCGTTGTCGTAGCCTGCACCTTGAGCCGAATGACTGGCGACAATAGAAGTACCTTTATTCCTGATCTGCGAGACGATGGGTGTACCATCCGGGGCTGTATACAAGCTCGGGGTGGCAAACACAGCTGCACTCGTGGGATCCGTCGCCAGCACCGTCGCACATGTGGCTTCTAACGCATGTTTAGGGTGCAGGGAAGCTGCGGAGAAGCCAGTCGGCTTCGAAGAGCCTTGCGGCGATACTGCTTCTGTTAGTGGACTACCTTCGCTGCACGGGCCGCTTAATAGAGACTCACCTATGGGCTGTTGACACATATTCGAATCCAGCTGGTGCCCAAGAAATTGACGAGGGATATCAATGATATCGGAGCTGCCGGCACAGGTCGCGACAATCCTTTGCCCACAGCTTGAGAAACTCAAGTTTTCGATCGCGCCCCGGATACGAGCGACTTCGATGAGTTTGTTTGGGCCTATTGCCGATTTTAGAATTCTTCTTTAGGGTAGGGACGAACAATTCGGGGAACGAATGAATAAACAAAACAAAGGCAGAGAAAGGTGGTGGTGGGGGGGGGAAGACCCTATTTGATGGCATACCAGTGCTAAAGCTCCAGAGACATATCGCGCGAGACACAGCGAGGGCAAGTAGAGGTAAGCTGGGATGGAATACCACCATGAATTGTCGAACTTCACGTTCATTATCGAATAATCGCTGCGTTGCCCTCTTTGGAGCGACCAGTCTCTTCGAGGTGTGTGCGACTAGTGTCAGAGACAGCTCAAGAGCATGCGTTTCTTGCGCCATTGCGAACACTGCAAGGTTATTCTGCTCGCCTAGTGGCTGATCGATGAAACAGATATACTGTGCATGGACATCGAAGAAGATCCAATAAAAGTAGACGTTACAGGAATCCTGGTCTGTCGACCGCGTGCCTATGTCCACAGTCCACCACGGGGGATTGTCTCCCTGTAGTTCCTGCTGTGGTATCTGCCAATAATTGAATACTTTGGGTACTTCCTGGAGAGGAAGAGACATAGCGGCGGCGGTCGGTTCACCGGCTGTCAATATCGCAACATAGACGGTCCGCAGAACGCTGAAGTGGCGTCCGTCCGGAGCGATCGAGATGGGAAACTGGAGATACCATTCATTGCTGCGAGTGGAATACCACAGTGTGTGAAGCATCTGCAGCATAACCTCGTTTTTATCGATAGGGACCGTCAAGGTGCTGACGAGCTTTTGCGTATCAGCGGAATATGCATTCCATTGAGCGACCCATCCTTGTATATATCGGTACACTTGCTGAATGGATGATGAGGCCTCCGAATTCGAGCGCAGTGCCATGAACTCCCTACTACGTCTGAGCAACTTTGCAACTTTTTGTCCGGGATGTTACTTACGTGGGTGCCCAAATGCTTAGCACGACAACGTATCGCCCGTCCCGAGTTACCTGCGAAACCTTCGAAAATGCTTCTTTGTGTCTATCGTTGTTAAGATGACTCGAAGAATCTAGGGAATGGACTGTCACTTCTTTTGTCCTCGCAAGGAATGAGCTGGGTGTGAATGCGGTCAGTTCTTCCCATATGCCACTCGGCCGTTCACGGAGTGTCTGGCCCCATTTCTCCTCAATGTCTTCCAGATCTCGGCAAAATTCCAGCAGGTCGTGTGGGAGACGAGATAGATTACGTTCTGAAATTGGATTGGTCAGGAAGAAATCTGTCATCTGCGTTGCGCAGCGTCGTAGCTCATTGGTTGAAGGGGGGTTTTTATTGGTGTAGCATGTCTCTATCCATGCCATCAGGGTAAACTTCTGTTTCATCAATTGAGATACTGCGGCGAGCAGAGAAACGCATGCTTCGGATTGAGCAGATCCAACACCGCATTTGGATAGATGGTACGGCCAATTGACAGCAGCATAACTGCACAACGGCAACCTCATATCCAATGCCTCCTTCGAGACCACCGTGGTGAGAGTCTCCGTCAATGTCTGATTACGCAATTCCTTTTGTAAATATGCCAGCAACGTCTTTGATATGTTCAAGTGCGCGATCGCAGAGGGTTGAATTAGTGTAAGAACGCTGTTTGTGATCCGATGATCATGAATCTGCTCCGACACGCAGGACTGTAGGTAGTCCCTAACGGAGGTGTGGATGAATCGCAGGTAACGATGCTGTGGAGTTTGAGCGCGGATGGTTGCATATTCAGTCTCAATCAACCCGCCACAGGTGATGATGACCACGTTCTCAAAATCTCTGAACCGGTCCTTGTGAGCGGTTCCGGATACTTGCCGGGAAGTTACATAGGCCTCATGAAGTTCCGCAACGGTCAATTTCCGTTTCATATGGAGAAGCCACGTAAAGATGTGCCCTGCAAGCCTGCGTTCAGGGGCTCCACTTCTGCAGATCATCTCGAATATTCTTTCGTAAATATTCTCAAGTCCCTCGAGTAGGTTCTCTTCAGCAATTATAGCTTCACGGTCTTCACACAACAACGCGGGAGAGCTCAGATAGGCGATGAGAAGACGCGCCCACAGAAACATACCGTCTGCTCTCTGGGTCAACTCACGGATCCTGCTTTCGTAGCTGAAGTTGTCTGGAAAGTAACCATCCTCTACAAGCTCCCACAGTTTGTTGGAAAGGTAGAGAGCAATGTCTGTATCATTTTTCCCTCTTACGGCGATGCGCATGTCGTCTCTTGTTCTGGCAGAAAGCTCTTGGACATTCGGGCGGCTGAAAGCGATGATTCGTGCCGATGTGGTCTGCGATAACCTCTGGATGAACAAGACTAACTTGGCTTTGTCTTTGCACTCATCGACCCCATCAATAACAAACATCAGCCTGGGCAAATGTTCGGTGATGAGAAGAATCAGGTCTGTGAGCTCCTCTCCGGATGCTTTCATTTGTCCATGATCAGATGTTGTCATGCAGAAGGAGAATAGATACTGGACATCCATGTCATCACGGAAATAATGAAGCAATTGAGCTGAGATCGCACGGTACGCTGCCGTGCTACCGTCTCTGTTTTGATAGCCAGCCTCAAAGAAATAGAAGCATATTGGGCTCTCGGCGTGACTACCTGTGAACATCGAGTTCTTGGTCATTGGGTTGGACTTCATATGGTCTATGAGGGAGGCGGCAAGGACACTCTTCCCACAGCCCGGATTACCTGCTCTATGTTAGACAAGTCAGAACATTGCCCAGGGTTGTATTCACTTTCCATTAATCCAAAGTACATTGGAGCCTAGCAATCTCTCTTTGTGGCCGGTCGGTTCGAGTTGTTGACTCCATTGTTCGTACGTCTTATCCTTGAAGATCCACTCGGCCGTGCTATCTTCTCTCGCCGCAAGGGAATCTTCGAACCTCTCGGCGAATTCAGGGGGATCAATCCATTTCTGGAGGCGATCGAATGTCATATCTATAGTGCCAAAGGGTCAATTCTCGGGACCAGCTAAATGAAACCTTGCGGACGCGGTCACCTTTCCATTGTTGCTCGAGCATATCTCGAATCTTTTCCCTCGCGACCGCGGCCTGCTTGCGTTCTTCTTCGGCCTTCCGAATCTCGGATTCGAGATTACGGCCCGTAGTCCTCAACTGGCCCATCTGGAGATATGAGATTTCCTGGTTCAGCAAGCCACGGTGAAACTCCATGTCTTCAGTAATCTCCCCAAAGACCTCATCGAAGGGTTTCCAAGCCGTTGCCGCAATTACACGCGCCGTGCTCTTGATTCCGCCTGTCGCTTTGCAAAAGACGCGCAGCACCTCGGACAGAAACCGGAACAAATCCGTATACAGATGCTCCAGCGACGACTGCAGGCCAGGCGGCTGGCTTTCGAACAGTCTTTCTATCCTTTCATATATCGGAAATATCTCGGCTATTCGATCCAAGCACTTCATAATCTTCTCGAAAAACGTCGCAAAGTTGCTCGCGAGCTGGGAACAATATGATCAGCAACCACCACAAGTCAGCTAATGGTGCAACTAGGATACTGCGGCAAGATCATGAGCTTACCTGAAGCACCACCCGGAGGCCACCCCATATTGTAGCCGCATGGATTGGATCACATGAGACTAGAGTGTCAATCGCCTCGAAGTATGGCGCGAGTCGCTCGATGATTCTCCGAATGGATCCGACCCACTGCGTCTCACGTCGCCGGGCTTTCTTCAGAGACTCGATCTCCGAGAGTTGTTTTACCAGATCATCGGGAGTTTTGCAAGAGGCAAGCAGATCTTTGTGCTGGGGAGAAAGACATTCCACGGTGGAGACGAAGGTATTGGACAATTCTTCGAATATGCTGCCTCTATTTCTCCCCATGATGCTTTGTTGTTCCACAGGAGACCATACGAGCTGACGAGGTGCAAGGAACCTTTCTGTGATAATAATTAATCACATCCACAGAGTTGCGAGGAAGATTGAAGGTGTGTCTGGAGTCAGAGTAGCTACGCGCCAAAAAGGGCGGGGTTCAGGCGCTTATCCGACCACGTCATTCATTTAGTTTTCTATTCTTAGCGAACGAGAAAAAAGAAATAAAAAATAGAACGACATAAACAGAAAAAAAGAAAAGAAAAAGAAAAAGAAAAAAACCAAGATTATATAATGATGCCCAACGAACTCGAAAGTCTCATGAGGTATCATGATAATGTCAGTATACAACCTTAAAGTAACTCGGGATCTATTTTAACAGTTATGTATAGAACCGAGTATTAGATTCTGCGCACTAACCATCTGTGACAGACAACTAAGTGGAGTACTAGTCGCTGACCTACGTTAACATTCAAGGTACTACACAAATGAATTGCAATATGAATTCTGTTCGGAATAAGCAAATCTACAAAATGAGTTGTACAAGGCCTAGTTTTGATACTAAATATTGAATATCTGAGTTACACCCCCGAATCAATCTCATCCACGAAACTCCGGTTACTGAAATCCGTCCAATCCCGACACGTCTGCGCCATAGACTCCGGAATAGCAAGCCTTTCAATATCATCCGGTCGTTCCTATACCACATGCCCATTAGCATCCACTCCAGCATACAAAAAACAAGTATAAAAAGAAAGGGGAGAAAAAGTAACTTACAACCACATTCAAAAGCAACCCGACACTAACATGCCACGACATATGACAATGAAGCGGCCAAACACCGGGATTATTCGCCTGCCATTCAAGCACCACATACGCGGGACTATCCTCCGTGCCCGGCTGGACGATCTGTGTATCGCGACGTTGAGGATTCATAGGATTAGTGACGACTCCATCCCAGGTCCCTCTTCCCTGGGCTAGCACCCAGTAATTATGGCCGTGGAGGTGCAGCGGGTGCTGCATGGAGAAGAGATTATAGATAATGAGACGGACAGTGGAGTTAGAGCCGAAATTGTAGACGTTCAGGTCTGGGTCCGGGTCTGAGAAGTTGCCGGATTTGCCTAGGAGGAGGAGCGGGGTGTTGTAGTCTGAGCGGAAGGTGGAGTTGTTTACATAGAAGAGGGTGTGGCCGGTGGTGTTTTGGGCGAGGGTGATTTCGATGGTTTGAGTGGTGGCGGGTGTGGATGGGGGTGTTTGGGGGTAGTAAGGGACTGTGAGGTTGAGGGGGTCGTTGGCGCAGTTGTTGCTTTCCCATTTTGTGGTTGTGGTGGTGGTTGGCCAGGTTGCTGTGTCGGCGTGTTCGTAGTAGATGGCGGCTTTGACGGTGGGGATGCTGGCTGTGGCGTTGAGGCAGGTCATATCGATGGAGGCGCGCATCCAGTATGAGTCTGTTGGGTTGCCGGTGGCTGTTACTATTACGTCGGTGCGCTGGCCGACGCCGAGGGTGACGACGTCGGTGGTGTAGGGCTGTACGGGGACGAAGTCGTTGGCGATCACAGTCATGGTATGGTTGTCGATGGTGAACTTCTGGTTCGCGTTGGAGCCCGTGTTCATTAGTCGAAGACGATGGGTTTTGCCGGAGGAGAAGTTGAAGCGGGATAGGCTGGAGCTGGGGCTGCAGGTGGTAGTGGAGCTGCTGTTGCAGTTGTAGGCGCCGCGTCCGTTGATCAGGTTGTTGTCGACGTTGGGGAAGACCGGGGGGATGGAGAAGATGCTTTCTAGGACTTCGAAGTAGCTCAGGTGGCTGTAATCGGAGATGATGACGGGTCCTAGGTCATAGTCGTAGCTGGCTTCGGGCTGGACAGGGCCGTGGATGATCATGGGCCCGTATGCGCCATCGGTGTATTGGGCGCTGTAGTGGGAATGGTACCAGCTAGTGCCGTACTGATCGGCTTGGAAGGTGTAAGTGAAGCTTCCTCCGGGGGCGATTGGACACTGGGTGATGCCGGGGACTCCGTCTTCCCAGGGAGTCTTGGCTTGTGTGAGTCCATGCCAGTGCAGGGTCAAGCCTTCTGCGGTGTCGGTTGTGATCATGTTGTTGACGGTGACGGAGATCATGTCGCCCCAGTTGGCTTCGATTAATGGGCCTGGGAATTGCCCGTTAATGAGGATGCCGCTCTTCTGGTAGCCATCTGGGGCGGTGATGTCCCGTGTGATGGTAAAGTTGTAGTGACGTGTAACACCTGTGTCAGGGGGGCCTCCTGAGGGCGAGATGTCCTTCCATGGGGGGTGTTCGGGGTTGGAATGCTGATTTTGGTTGTTGCCACCGGACTTCAAGAAAGGGCCAAGAGGAGATGCCGGCAAGAGGCCGTAAGGAGATAAACCTATCAAGTTATTAGTTAGCCGAGAGAACACTACAGGGTTGAAGGAAAGAAAAGGGGCATTATGAAGAATACCGTCAGGGCGATGTGACTCAAAGGGGTTGAAGGAGACAACCGTCCCCAAAAGGAGGAACCAAGACTGCCAATAGACCATGATATTACGCTATTCTGTTGTTTGCTGGGGAGACAGCATGATTTCAGATGGGTCGCAGCTTAGATATAAGTATGTTTTACTCCTAAATAAACACGGATCCTGCGAGTTAGATATAAATTTAGACTTATGAAGGATCAACCTTTACGCCCGATTTGAGGTGAACAATTGATCTGAGTGGGAACAGGGGGCTTGTACATGGCTAGCCACGTTTTCCTATGTTTATAGCATGCTTGTTGGGATCATCTATAGTACTACTTCAAATACTTAGTTCACGAACCCAGACCATGCCAACAAATAGGGATGTTTCCAGAACTCTGCGGATCTGCATCAGCAACGTGGTGCAGCTCTGGAGAGCAACGATAATCCATGACTATGAGGGCCAGCTCGACCCCCAGATTCGTGTTGAACAGGATCATGCTTGATGCACACTTAGCGACGGCCCCCAATAAGTGACCCACTTACGGGTAAAGATTTAGAAGATCTGGAGTTATGTGACTGTAGATATTGATTCTTTGTTTGGCCCCCACAATACTACTGCTTACTACTGCTTAGTATCTAGAGACTTACCCTACCTAATTGCTTGCTGAGAATGTTGATGCGGCATGTTGCAAAGATCAACAACTGGACACTCTATCATCCGCCACGCACTTTTCGATGATTTGCATTCATAAGTGATCATTCAGCCTGAGTAATTCATAAGCTATATGTGAAGAAGTAAATCTTCGAACATAACCATCTCTCTTCCAGTTTATCTACTCTGTATCACGACTCTCCCCAACACACCACTCTCATCCACCCCCCATTAAACAACTTCTCCAACCTACGCCAAAAGATCCACCAAATACTGAGCCAAGAATCCAGCCGACTTACTCCCTCCGACAATAAAGAAACCCATACGGAACCAATACAAACAACTAGCCGGCTTGGTCAAATCGACCGAATAAATCATAACCGTCAACGAAAGCGCGGTGCCACCACAGCCCACAAGGAAGTAAACCCCGGACAAGCCCGCAGTAACACCCACCGCAACCAGGAACCCAACCATAACGACACCAAGCACAGAGGCAATAATCTTAGTAGAATTTCTATACCTCACCGCCATGGACTTAACACCCGCCTGGACGTCATGCTGCACATCCTGATGCGCGTAGATCGTCTCATAGATAATCGTCCAGAGGAACTCAACCACGAACAGGCAAGCCGCCGGAGCGGAGAACGGGTCCACGCCCATCCCGACAGCGGGGAGGATCATAGTCACGGAGAAAGGCAGGCCCAGGAAAACGGGGGTGAAGTCCATGAACCGTTTACAGAGGGGGTAGATGGCGTGCAGCACGCCCATGGCGAGACTGTATGCGTGACATTGGGCGGGGAGGTGGCTCAGGATCCAGGCGGTGATGGCGACTTGAGCTAGGGTGAAGATGTGGCCTTGCGTGGTGGAGACGGCTCCGCGGGCAATGGGTCGACAGCGGGTTCGGGGTACTTTGCGGTCGAAGTCTTGGTCGACATTGTCGTTCCAGGTGCAGGCGGCCCCGCGGATGAAGTTGGTGACGACCCAGAAGAAGATGAAGGATTGGAGGAATTCAGGGGCTGTGATGGGCGGGGAGGCTAGTGTGGCGCCCGCGGAGAGGCCCATTAGGGTGGGCATGAAGAAGCCGAGGAAGCCCGGTCGGTCGAGCCGCATTAGTTGGACGTAGGGGACCCAGGATGATGGGACCAGTTTGGCTACGCCTTGGATTGGCATCTTGTTTGTGGTCGGGGCTTTGACCTCCTCGTGACGGGCGGTTATGGCCACCTTGTGCACGGTTTGGCGCTGGGTAAGGGTCTCTTCCATTGTGTTGGAATCAGGGGGAAGGATGATTTGAAGGATGATTTGGGGAGGCTATGATAGGGTAGACACTGTGAGTGCAGTGATGAAATGTGTATGTCTGATCTCGGAGGAACCGAGAGTGGATTGGAAAGGATGAAGGATGATTGATAATGGATTGTTCTGGTTCATTGATATGGGAGGAATGTGTCTTATATATCTTTGATTTCAACATACATTGCACACACACACACACATTGTTCTAGATACAGATATTGATCCGAGAACAAATAGATACACATGAGTGAGACATTATTTTGCCAAGTCGTTCCTAAGCTATACTCACCATCTGGAGACAGGCAGACTCGAGCCATGGCAAATGCAGAAAACTGGACGAGTGAACATTGCGGGCTGTGCTCACGGTGCCCCTCCCTCTTCGATTAGGTTGGGGTCCAAGAAATGGGGCAGTTAAGCAAGCGAGCCTGCATTGGTTTAGCGGTTCACCGTGAGGGAGCCGTGCTGCAGTCCGAATGCAGTAAGTGATGTGCTTGATAAGGCGTTCTGCCAGTTATTCGGACCGTCGATCTTTGACTATTTGCGGAATTTTTTTGCTGCATACAAAGGAGTGACTTGATAGCTGGTACAGATGAGGCTGTAAATTCAATTGTTAGTAGATTTCATAGCATTTGATTTCGAGATCAAGGATCAAATGCATCAGCGGATAAGTATTTAAGCATGTTTTGGCAGGTCTCCACTTATCACTTGTCTAGACACACTACTCCACTGCACCAAGTGTTTGCAGCTGCAGCCAAGCATTATGCCGGAGCAGTCACAACCTGACGTGAGAAGAAATACATGAAATAGAAAAAGAAAAAATAGTGAAAACGGGAGAGCAGAAAATGATGCACTACGGAGTATTTGCAGCACAAATGGGATCGAGAATCGATCTAGTGGTACTGCCACATAATACAGCAGCGTAACAAGACGTAATCCGTTAGATTAACTGCCCAGTCTCGGAAATGAACTCTGCTTCCAGCGAAATGGGGGCGAATCTATCTCCAGGTCTCCGCATATCAGAGAGCGGCTTTAGCCCCCACCGAACTAATAGAAAGGAGCCCTATCTCCGATTTGACATGGGCCAATACACTAGCAACATGGAGAAAATTAAATCTTCAATTGAGCTAACTAGAAGTACGTGCACCGGCACTAAGTTCTGCATTATGCAGCAACGGCTTCGATAATGCTATCCTGCAAGCTCTCTGTATACGTGTGCACCTGGTTAATCTTCAGCCCTGCGCTTTGTAACAGCTGATTCCACTGTTCCTGAGTTCGCTCCCGAGCGCCCAAGGCCGCCATCATGAGCATGTCTAATTGTGCCTGCTGCCAGTGAACGCCAACATTAGGCAGGACCATGTCATCAATCAGAATATAGGAGTCTGGGGCCATAGCATCCTTAATATTCTGCAAAATCTCCACGCACTTGTGATCTGGCCAATCGTGGAGGATATTCCGCAAGTAGTAGAATTTCGCTCCTGTTCTCATGTTAACGATCGTATACTACAGGGTAAGCGATGGGAGTTGGGAGAGGTCGTACCTTTCACTGGCTGGGGAGTGAAAAAGTTATAAGCCATGAACTCTACGCCAGGATGCTGTGTCGCGTTGGCCGTGGTCGGGGCCAGATCCTGAACAATCACTCGGCCTTCGAGTTGGCTGTACTTTTCCCGGAAGGAAATAGCTTGCTGACCGAACCCTCCTCCAATATCCACGAAAAGGGCTCGGTCGGCGCTTGTTTCACTGGCCTTATCGGGGGCTGGGAAGACATCCAAGAAGGTGGGCATGCCGAATCGATTGGCTTGCATGTGTTCATTGAAGAATGCCAAATTCTCAGGGTGTTCTTGCAGCCATAGAAACGCCGGTAATTCCGTGTTCATGACTCTCTGGAAAGGTGTCTTTACATTATCCTGAATATCGGGGTATCCGTTCTCTTTCAGGAAGGCCGGAAGATCTTGGATGGACGGGCCGGCATTGTTGAAGCTGTATTACGAGACAGTCATTAAATCAAGTCCCTTGTGAGAGTCCGGGGGAGAGTACTACATACAGATGGCCAACAGCAGCTTGGAATCCACGCTGGGAAAAGGTTCTGGAGATGTTGGACGCAGTGAACGTATCTTTGGCGACCTCCTGGACTGCATGATAGGAAGCCAAATAACGCAGTAACCGGCCTTGTTCGGTTAGAACCGAGCTCTTCCACTTGTGAGGGAATTACATACCCATGAACACTGGATTGGCTCCTGTGCTCTCACTCAGCTGGTCCACAGTGAGGGGGCCATCGGCCTGTGTTAATAGCTCGAATAGCTTTAGATCGATGGCGGTACGGATGCAGGCCAGTTGCATATTCTGGTGAGGGAATATCCAATTAACTATACTTGGCTTAGCCAACTGCAGGAGCGGGTGCATACGTAGAAGGTAAAGCGCTGAACAGTATCATCTGGAGATTCGATAGAAGCATACAGCTTGCTCAGTGAATCCAAGATATCCTTTCGCGTTTTCTCATCACCGGCCTTGGCCTGTCTCCGGACTTCTTCCACCAGGGCCTCCATGGTTTTCTTTGCTCGTTCGTATGTTGCTGGATTTCAAGTCACTGACGGATGCTGAATTTTGAGAACCAATGGGGTAATATGAGGCATGAGTAGGGCAGGATTGTTACTACTATTTAACTACAGGGAAGATCACACTGGACACAAGGTGCAAACATCACATTGGGCATCCTTGATGCTGGGTTTGTGCTAGAAGACAAAGAAAGAACCTCTGGGCGGTTAATGTCAATGCCGCCTCCAGCAATCTATGTTTGGATTTCCAGGGGACCCCTGCGACTTCTCTGGTAGACTAAATTCCAGTAAACTAAGCTTTGATTTGTATGGTGGAGCCGATTTGGGGGCTGCTGCAGCACTGAAGGCCTGGTCCACATAGGGTAAGTCGCTCCCCGCCATGGAGGGCCGCTTTCCACCGCAAACGATAATACAGACGGGATAATCTGATCGACGGCTGGTGGAGACCCTAACCCACAGAGAGCAATCACGCCGAGCCTTCGCAGCCTTTGAGTTGGCCGCTCGGCTACACAAATCCCCAAATTCATACTAATTTCTGACGGGCGGAGCCTTAGACCAAGTCTGCTCACGGCTCGCGTTCCAGTTGCATGTCTCCGGCCAGCGCAGCCACTGGGAATGACGAACAACGAATTACACTAATTAACTGGTCAGTACCTGTCGGCAGAGGACAAACATCTTGCTAATGAACTAGTGAGAAATCGTACAGAAGTGTCAGCAATACGCATTGACTGCCGATAATCTCAGTGGATGGTGGCTACTCCAGATGTGGTAATATTCTTTCGGCTATCCCGTAGACTAAACATGTGCCCAGCAGGTACTTCTCCTCACTTTGGCCCCCAGACAGGTACAAGATTGTACATGAGTCCGATACAGCCACAGGTCGATCGGGCTCACTACCACAAACTGGCGAGGTTGACTGCATATTCCAGCTGCACTTCTACGCCTGTGGGGGCGTCTTATTCATGGATGCATGCTTATATGCGTGAAAACCCCTCCTTTCGCTATGATGACAAGCCGAGCCCATATCAGTCGACCCTACCAGCCACGGTCGCGAAACAGAAAGAAAAGCATTCAGCATGAGTGCACCACCAGCTGGCGGTGATCAGAATCGCGGCCCTGCTCTGGTGGCCATTTACTGGGCCGAGACATCTTTCGCCATTCTGGCGGTCGCATTGCGACTCTATGGCCGGAAACTAATCAACGGCTTTGGCGCTGATGACTATATGATGGTCTTCACCCTGGTACGCACTCCATTCCTTTTCCTATGCCTCACATCCAACCATACTAATATGTATCGCCTCTTCCCCTTCTTCAGCTCCTATTCATCACTCTAGCTGCATTTGTGACCTACCTCGCCGACAAAGGAGGCTGTCGACATCTGTACTACTTAACAACCGACCAACAACTCTTGGTCGTGAAGTTCAACTGGATCACTCAAGTATGGGGTATTTTCGGCTTCGCGACCGGCAAGAGCTCAGTGGCTCTACAAATCAAGCGAATCTTGGGCCCGAATGATAACTGGATGAAATGGCTCTTATGGTTCCTAATGATCTCTACTACCATCTTCTGCGGGTTGGACTGCCTCTTTGGCTTCGTGCAGTGTGATCCTCCTCGCGCTCTATGGGAGCCTTGGATTCCCCATACCTGCTGGAACACAAATGTACAAGCGAACTTTGCGATTTTCATTTCAGGTATGTTGCCATTAATTTCCCACGAGACCATCTTTGCCTTTGGACTATCTGACTGATATCGCTGCCTATAGCATGGAACGTGCTGGTAGACCTTGTGCTTGCTGCTCTCCCCATCCCGATTATCTGGCGGACGAGTCTCACCCTCAAGCAGCGGATTGCTACCTGTACCCTTCTTGGGCTGGGTCCATTGTTAGTATTATATATTTTTATCCCTGATGATCCCATAATTAACTTCTTATTCTAGAGCTGCAGCCTTCGGCCTCGTCAAAATCCAATACCTCGCTGGACTGAAAGAGCGTTCTGACCTGACCTGTACGGCCCCCTCCTCAACCCCCCTCTTTCATCGCAGTGGTTACTGACTCCATCTCCTCACAGGGCAAACATACAACCTATACGTCTGGTCCGGGTCCGAACTCTTCGTGATCATCATCTGCGGCTGCGTGCCCCCGATGCGTCCTATATTCACGACGCTGTTCGGACAGAACAAGAGCCAGTTTACAGGCTACTATGACTCCTCCTCTGGATATAAGCGTCGACAGAATTACAAACTCAGTACCCTGGGATCGTCGCAGCCGGTCCAAAGTCAGGATGAGGATACCGAAGCGCTGCATTCTCGGGTGGAGGGGCCCGGATCACATCTGCCCCAGTCGCGTTTTAGTGAGGGCGGGATTTATCGGGAGGTTAATATATCGATAGTGGAGGGGCCTAAGTGATAATATGTATATATTATAATTGATTAATGATATTAGTGTATTGTTATTATGGATTTCCTTCAATCTAGAAGCTTTTGCTTGTAAGGTGCTCACTTTCCTCCTTTCGGTAAGACATGATATCGTATAGTATAGTATATATTACACATCTATTCCCGCTCCCCAATATCAAATATAGATAGATATATGTCGAATAATAGTAAACGCTGAACATTGAAATAGACCAGGATACCCCAATACTCGACCTCAAAGCGTATCACGAAGCTCCTCGACCCGCGAGACATCCTCCACAAAAGTAGCGCCATACTCTCTCATAACCACGATCCTCTCCTCCATATTCATCGCGAAACTAATTCTCATAAAATCCCTTGGCATTTCATTGGCATTCGCAAACCTCAACACCCACACGCCTACACCATCCGCCGGCCACCCAAACACCAGCACTTTCTTTTCTTCCTCCGTCATCTCTCTCAGCCCTAGAACCGCCTCAAGCTCATCCTCCCTACTCGGCCAACACGTCGCCCCAGTCCGGCGCAAGAGCTTACAGAACCTGTCCTCCTCATCGACACTGGATGCGCGCTGCACGGCCTGAAAGCGCGGGAGCGAGAGGAAAAGCAGATCAACCAGGTCAGCGTTTTTAATGAGGACGCCACCGGTCGAGGGGTACCCATAGACACGGCATCCTTCGGGGCTGAAGACGGTCCGTTCCGTTGTCGGGAGAGGGGGGTTCACGGGGCACGAGACGGCGGAGTCGTCCTGCTCCTCTACGCCGTCGAGTGCTGGGAGTCGTCGGCCCATGATCGGGAGGCGGTCCACGTTGATGGGGAGGACGCGGCCGATGGTTTGGGCGCAGAGGAAGGAGAGGATGCTGGACATGTTATGTTGCTCGACTGAATCTGGGTTTGATAAGATCAGCGGGTGAATCCTCTTCTAGATATATCTCATATAGACCAAAATACAATATTTACACCGCTTTCTGATAGTCAGTATATAGCCGTTGTGTCCTGTCTATCTACCTAAAATAGAAAGGCCTCGGGGAGAGAAACAGATCTGCCTGAGTCAGGCGCCCCACCGCCGAGAGAGTCAGTCGGTCCACAATCTCCGAGTCAGAGTGGTGCCTGAGGCATTAACTCCATACTATATAGAATTTCAGGTACGATTGGGGATTCTGAGGTTCAGAGATATATATTTTTTTGAGCGTGTCTACTACAAATCAGATCCTTTGCAAAGCTTATATGCATCTTTTATCATGGAGTCTCGAGTATCATCTGATTTACACCGAGGCGAGAAGGGAGGGAAAGGCTGGCGTTTCTGGGTATCTACTCCCTAACATATTGACATAGTATATACTAACACATATGGGAACTATAGACCATCTTCATCGCACTATCCATAACTTCCATCCTCTCCGCCCTCGACACCTCGGTCATTTCCACCACCATGCCTACCATCGTGCACGACCTCGACTCCAGCTCCGCTTATGTATGGATCGCAAACGCGTACTTCCTCACTAGCACTGCTTTTCAGCCGCTCTATGGCCAGTCGGCGAATATATTCGGCCGGCGCAGTCTGATTATTCTCTCTGTTGTTCTCTTCGCCATCGGATCTGCTGTCTCTGGCTCTGCCAGGTCTACGAATGTCCTGATCGTCGGACGTACGATCCAGGGCGTAGGAGGCGGAGGTATCAACGTGCTCGTTGATATCATAGTGTCGGATCTGGTGCCTCTGCGTGAGCGGCCGAAGTATATGGGGGTCATATTCAGCGTGTTTGCGGTGGCGTTGAGTCTTGGTCCTGTGATCGGTGGGATCATGACGCAGCGGGTGACCTGGCGGTGGATATTTTATATAAATTTGCCGATCTCGGGAGCTGCGCTGGTGCTTCTGATGATGTTTCTGAGGACGGAGTATAAGAAGGATTCGATACGGGATATGTTGAAGCGGGTGGATTTTGCTGGGAATACGCTTCTCGTTGCCTCGGTGCTCGCGGTTCTGTTGGCTTTGACGTGGGGTGGGACGGAGCATCCCTGGTCGTCCTGGAGGACTATCCTGCCGCTTGTGCTGGGGAGTCTGGGCCTGGTTGGGTTTATGGTGTTTCAGGCGTCAGGGAAGGGAGTGGAAGAACCGACGATGCCGATTCGGTTGTTTGCGAATCGGAGGTCGCTGGCAACATTTGGGCTGACGTTTTTGCATGCCATCCTCACGTACTGGATGACATACTTTCTTCCGGTGTATTTTCAGGCGGTTTTGGAGGCGTCGCCTACGGCCTCTGGGGTGGATTTCCTTCCTAGTGCTGTTGCGGCGATCCCGTTTGCGATTCTTGCCGGGGCGGGGCTGTCTATATTGGGCCGGTATCGCCCGTTTCAATTTATTGGGGTCATCTTGCTGACTATTTCTTTTGGGTTGTTGACAAGGCTGAACGCGATGACTTCGACGGGGTATTGGGTTGGGGTACAGATTCTCGCGGCAGCTGGGAGCGGAGTGCTTCTTACAACCACGTTGCCGGCCATTCAGGCCCCGTTGCCTGAGGCGGATGTAGCTGTTGCAACAGCTACCTGGGCGTTTTTGCGCAGTTTTGGGGGAGTTTGGGGTGTGGCGATACCGTCGGCTGTATTCAATTCCAGAGTGAATGCTTTGGTGGATCGCGTAAAGAGTTCTGTACTGCGGGAAGAGTTGAGAAATGGTGGGGCATATGCACTGGCGTCGAAGACATTCATGCAGTCTTTGGATTCAACGCCTGGTGTTAAGGCGCAGGTCTTGGGGGTTTATGTTGACAGTTTGAGGTTGGTGTGGCAGGTAGGAATCGCGTTCGGGTTATTGGCGTTTGTGGTAGCTTTCATTGTCAAGGAGGTGCCGATGCGGGAACAGCTTGAGACAAAGTTTGGCCTGACTGGTAGGGAAGATGATGGCTGCAGCAGTGGGGCACCTACTGAGAGCGCCGAGAAACATGTATGAGTGAGGGATGGAAGGAATGTCTGGTGTTCGGCGAGAAGTAGATCTTGTGGTTACAGTTCATGCCGCGAATTGAGAGTTTGATCCACTTCCAGGCATTCTAAACCTGGTCTATATAGTAATTTTGGCCAGAAAGCCTGTCCAAGCGTAAGTTAATCTCACTACCTAGCTAGCTAGGCTGGCCCTCGCTGAGTTGATCGTGAGTTTCAGCTGGGACGGTCGACCTCAGAAGCCAAGTTGCATCGATGTCATCATAGCCCATTACCTCAGCGGAGTCATGCCAATAGCTACTCGGCTCGTAACCGAAGTCGCCTTCGGTCGGGTCCATCAGGTTCAATGGCTGAGAATGATGGCACAAGTTCGCATCTTCCGACCCACAGAGATCTTGAGACGATGACTTTTCTTGCGATGAAAGGAGTTTGGGAATTTCAGGATCTTTCTCTAGGAGTAAGCACGGCTGGTTAAATGGCGATAGACTTGCCAATTCGGAAATCCTCTCAGTACAATGTTGTGGTCTACTAATTGTTTCCTTGACAAACTCAGGAACGAAACCTCGGAGATCAGGATGTGCCATGAGAAAGTCAGATCCGACAGCGAAAGGACACGAGAGAGAAGCTGGAGAAAAATGTTGTCTAAATTGCGGACTAACAGCTAGTCTGCGGTCAAGGCCGATTTCGTACGCGTCTTCGAATTTCAGCGCCGGGGAAAAGTACATGTCGCGAAGCGCATCCATCGCAAATGTCTCGCATGCTTCGTTATGGGTAATTACGGCATTTTCTGGTTGGGTAGAGAGCAAGTGGGAGCGTAGCTGTGGCCTGGGTTTGTGTCAGGTAAGTTGTCTCGAGGGAAGAACTTTGTTTACCATGGTAGCATGTCTATGGAGATATTATGAGGGAAGTTCTTCTGGAATGATCTTTGAAGATTCAGTAAAGGTCAAAGACGGGTCTTGATCTAGCTTACGTTGGTCGTAGCCAGCCTGGAATCTGAGACACACAAGATTGGCGCTCTCCGTGTTGTGTGAGTAAAGACTAATCCGAGTCAACAAAGCGTATCTTGACGGGTGATAACCACCTACCAAGAACGCCATCTGAACAAGGTACAGCAAGGCCAGCTGGTCTATCGGCCTTGCCAATGGTCGCAAAAGCATGAACCGGCGATGCAAGTGAGCCAAGAGGCGCTGTATCGGTTCCTCATTCTCGCTGACAGGATCCTCCCAGCCATTCAGTACTCCATTTACTATGATGTGCGTGTCACAGAGCGGTGAAAATGGCGTGGAGTCGACCGTCTTCAGGTCTTCGTAGTCGAGGAAGATTCGACTAATTAGACCAAGATCCGGTTCAGTGTGTTCTCCTTCTGTCCGAGCCTGGGCGGCTTTGTCGTCGCTAGAATTCAATGTTGATTTCATTGCTTCAGCGATAGTAACTAAATGATCGGCCAGTGTGCGCAACTCGTCGTGCTCTTTGCGCATCTGCCTGAGCTCATCCGAAAGTGCCTTGTCTGCGCCGCCTTGCAGCTGCGAGACTTGGAGCTCCAGCAGGGCCAGTCGGTCTTTGGTGCGTTGGCGAGCAGCGCGTTGTGCAATTCGGTCTTGGACTCTTTTCTTTTCGCGTTTCGAGATAGCCTGCGACATTGTGTTGATGCAATTTGATGGAAAGAATGAGAAGCAGCCACGACTGTTTTGCTGTCGCTTGTTTTGGCGGGACACGTGCTGACTGCTTAGTGAGCCGCTAGGAAGTGAATCCTTCCACTTAGTGTAGTCGTTTGAACAGGGTGTGATATTCATTTGTTAAAGACTTTCTATGCATACATGGTTATAACGCTCTCTCATGTCCCCCTCTCTTATCTGTCCACTGAAGAAATGAATGGGGTACCTCAAAGAGATCTGGGATAAGTTCTGGAACTATAGCATCATCGACAGTGGCTCGCACGGTACACTCTCCGCCCAAGATGTGCTCAATATTCCCCAGGATACTGTACATGACCCCAGAAGACTGAGACATCGGGCTATTGACGACTTGTTGGTCATTATCCGAGGGATATTCCTTTCTGCCACCTTTCCATCTCCCAACTAGCGACGGGTAAGACGAGTAGCACTCCAATGAGCCATTGTGACAGAGTTCACTAAGGAGGTCTGGAAAATCCATATTGTCATCGTCTGTGAGCCGTGTCAAAGCAGCGAGGATCTTTTGGGACGCCCTGTATGTAATAGCGTACGCCGCACTACATGCCGCCTTTTCTATCATGCATGCCATCCGGACATTCTTCCCGGTTCCAGCTGGGGGATCATACGAATAAGGCGGGAGGTAGCGAGATGGCATCGCCGTTATGTCGTGAGGCATCACCTGAATAGGGGAAGAGCCGTTGCATTTCATACCACAGTGACCGATCCAGAGAACGTCCCAGCTGTCTCCGTACGGAGAATCTGTGGTCGCATTCCTTTCTGGGGCGTTGATCTTTGGTATTTGCTGAGAGCCTAGGGCAAGTCCTTTTAATTGCATTTTGATATTAATATCCCAGTCAACATCGTCCTCAAGTATCAGTGCACTTGCGATCCCATCTGCGACGATTCTATATAGATTTCATTAGATGATGTGAACGAACAAAATGTAAGACAGGTCGCTACCTCTGTACAGCATTCGCATGTGGGCGGAAAGCAGTAAAGGCTTCAATGCTCTTCGATTCGTTCAATCCCTACCACTAACAGTAAGCAGACATCCATCGTGAGTTCCGGCTCCACTAACCTCGGCGCTGTCTTCCTCGAGGACAAACCCGTCGATGAAGTCGACGTGAAATCCTGTAGCTGAGGATGCAAGTACAATCGCATCGCGTCTGTCTAAGAGTTGTACCGGGCTAATCGCAAATATTCTCTCAAACTATAATATGTCAATATTTCGGGTGAAAGGTCAGCGAGGTGATGGAGTAGCATACACCTAGTGTGTTGTTTGCGATCGCGTCGAAGGGGTCCCGGATCGCGTCGGGCTTAACATTTCGGTCGTGTCCAATGTTCCCATGAAAGAACAAAGACCAGAGTAAAGCTAGGATGACGAGAAATAAGATGGCCAGATTTGAAGATCGACGGCGTGTTCCAGGAACCAACCTGACCGGAGACCCGGGAGTGATCATAGCAGCCATGTTCATTAATGGGATGATCAGGAATGCGAGCGCAGACCCCGCCTTTTTTAAGACCCCAATGATTACCTTTCAGATCTCCACTCTTTCTTTGATTGCTGCGATGCATTGTGACCAAACAGCGTGACAGGCAGGTCAGCGTCCAGTCAAATGCTTTGTTTAGACGCCGTAGTTGCGGGACTTAACCTGAACTAGTAGCAAGCAGCTTAGGGACCGGCCACTTTACCCGCATTAGAGCATGGTCAGAACACCAATCAGCACTTTCACTAAGCCGTAATCATACACAGGTACGAGATCATGTCCATTCCATGTGTGGTGTCTGAAGAATATGGCTTCAAGTTTAGGAGTCCTGACAATCTATCATGGATACATTCAGTCGCAATTCATGTGCTGATCGGTCTCTCAATAAGGAGGCACGAGAGGTTGTAGCTTGATTGAGCTTTGAGCAGTCGCAACAATCGGGCTTGTCCTCACTGTCTTGGTCTATCTTTCACAAGCCATTAGTTATGCCTTGGATCTTCTAACTGACGGGTCCAGAGCAGCTACCGAGAATAGCGCGCTGGGCATATAGCCAATAAGAGAAGCGTAGCATTACTCAGACTTTCTCAGGCGTTATGATTGATGATGTTGACAGGGTTGAAGCAGATGCATACGGCGGCGGGCTTTCTGCCTCCGAAACGCACCCTTCGAAGCTTTGAGTAGCTTTTTCTGGATCTCGAGAGTTTGCCAATAGCTCCACAGGAAGATCAGGAATATCAAAGGTACTTGTTTTCCCCGCACATTCAAATGAAAATGACGCGCACAACCGATACGTCCTGCTAATGTTGAATGTGCGGAAAGATACATCCGTATGCCTGATTCTAAGAGGTCCAAAGGCCTGTGCTAAGTCCACTTTACCCATAACTGGCATACTGAGCGACGTCCGTGATAGTATCTCAATCCGCTCGTCAACTTGGCCCGATAATGCTCCCATTAGGGACGGAGCGGCCCGAGCGGCAGTTTGACTGACCATGGAGATGGACAGAGATTGCATCACAATATCGGGAGGTGATGTAACAGAGGAGTCCTCCATAAACGGCGTAATATCTAAAAAGCATGGAATTGGTGTGGATTGTACCAGGCGTGTGGGATAGGAAAAAGACGCTTTGAAGCTGAACCGAGGCAGCTGACCAGGTGAAAGCCATGACTGGATCTTCTCCTGCACCTTTAAGCTTCTTCCCCTGTTTTCTGGGAGTAGAAGCATGCTTCGAATATTGAACAGCTGCTCCTTCTGTTGCTGATATGTTGTAGGGTAGTCATCTGTGCCCTTCATTTCCAATCTAGCCTCGAGCGGTAAAAAGTTCAATCGTATGACCTCAGAGAACAACGGTGACTTCCTGCCTAAGATCCCTCGCTGCGGTCTGAATACTTCGGCGTGGATTCGGTACTCGATGGTGCACTCCAGCTTCCGTAAAGAATCATGAGTTTGCGTTGCAAAGGTTGGTGGCAAGGGATGATTTGCGTCGCTGCGGAAAGGCAAAGTTTCTGGCCATCTTGAAGACGCGGATTGGACATGTGATGGAAAGACAAACTCAAACGGCCATTCATACGTATCAGGGGCAACTGTATCGCCATTTGGGTGCCATAGAATCCTCTCCTTTTCGAAAAGCATACACTTGCTTCGATAGCTGGCGGCAGGGGCTGCGGATCCCTTGGTCTTCTGCACCTTTGCCTTTGCGCGCCCGGAGAATGTCACCCGAATGTCCTGAATCTCCGTTGGGGTGGAACATTGAAAGACGATGCGACCTCTGATTCGGTCATTTCCAGCGTAGCATTGCTGCTGGTTAATCAACGACACGGTGATAGGCATTGTGAGGAATGGCACACAACGCAGACTTGGGTGGCTTTAGTAACAAAGGAGCTACTGGGAAGCGATCGCAGAAAAGAGAAGTGCAGGAGGAGCGGGATGGTACACCTTTGTACCATTGTGCAGTGGCTTGTCCCACATTTTTCAAATCTTAAAAGCAGTGCTCAGGATATAAATAGGATTTTATTGTCAAAGCTTTATCCAGACCCATTGATAGTCGATGATGTCTGTGACAGTGGGGGATGCCCGTGGCCATTGGCGAATGAGGCGCATCATGAAAACGAATACGCGGAGACTTCCTGATGCGGAAGGGGTGGCGTCCCACTTGCTCTCCACTCAACCATCCCAAATCAGTACAATATCCTTGGTTCCACTTAAGTACTACCCATGCCTGATAACGATGTTTGGAACTTTACCTGTTATGTACCATATGAAAAGATATTAACCTTCCTCATTTATATAGATGATGGCTTCCCAGAGTCATCTATTCAAGTAACCTGCTCACTGCTAGCAAGCTGGACAACACATGTGGTCAACCAACCCCCTAAACAACACAATTCCTACCTTGCCTCTACCTGCGCAAACGCACGAAAATTACCTTCAGATACCAGTATCATGCAGATAATACTTGCTTTCACACCTTTCAAAGGCCTCAATCTTTACAAAGGGGTAGGTAAGCAGACAGGTGTGGCAGGTAGAGGTCTAACTCAGAAACATGTCAGCTATGCTTGATCGTACAAAACAGGTGGAGTAGTAGATTACCGCTATCTTAGTAGAGAGGTACTTGAATCGAGGATGTTGCCGTGGGGGTTGGTAAGCGCTTTATCCACTTGGTTTTCAAAGATGAATGGATGTCTTGTACTAATTCTACTACCAGGTCAACCCAACATGATACTCAATTGGTTAGTTCCATTTCTACCCAGGGACCCGTATATATGTATGGTATGTATAGCATATCTGTGGACCAAAGGAAAGCGATCGTTGGTTGCTTGGATGCGAGGATCATTCCGCGGCGCGTGATTTGCTATCTAACCCACAATGATCCTTTCAGGTTCCTGGCAAAAGAAAAGGCACAAAGTAAAATCTGCGCACAGGCCAGGGTTCTTGCTCCTTGTGTATGGAGTGCTCCACAGGAAGATCCGGCAGTACGCATGCAAGATATACCTCCTAGTACCAACACACCACAACCAGAATTCTTCACATCGAAAAATCTACAGAATCCTGAGGTTTTCTTTTCAAGAGATATAAATCATATAACAAAGTGATGTGAGATCATTGTGTATGTGAATTCCCGGTATCTTGCGAGACTAAGACCTCTTTATTCATCACATAATTAAATAGTCTGTGTTGTACTTCCGCCTACATAAATGGTTCAGGCATCCTTCCCATCTCCCCTTACCGCTGGATGCCTAGATTCTCAGTCAAATCATCGAGAGGGAGTAACGTGATCTACTAGTCTGTCAGCCTATCCCCTTCGAGTGGCTTACAGCCACAGGAACATCAAACAGCCTTATCAACTACATACTGACCACAATTATATCTACAGATAACTTTTGACAAAATTCCTAAAAATCGCTGCATTACTGGAGCCATCAACTGTCTCGAAGTTCATCAAAGAACCTTGCTTTCACAACCGTGATCGCTGTTGCTTCTCCATACTTGATGTGTTCCTGACTGCCCCGCCTTATTTCCACCACCGAGCCTTGCACGGAAAACTGACCCGTTGCATTTCCTCACTTTGCGCCATTACGTCCCCCCTTCTGTCACACTTCTTTCTCGGCTTCCCAGTTATATTTGACGAATAGACTTGTTCTATCCTCAGCAATCAGCATGCCTTGGAAAGCCTTCCGCAAGGACCTTTCCGATGCGTGCCTCCGAGCGAGGTCTCCCCATCTGAGCCACCTCAGGCTCGGTGACGAAGACAGTACCATTGCCTTTACCTACAGCTTCCAGTCCTGCATGCACATTGAATTTATTGTCTCCATTCTCGGTATGTGAGCGCCTTAATGATCTGGTCTTAGTCTTTCTTACTAATGACGTGATAGATGCCACTGAATACCCCGATGATCACAGTTATTTTGCGTTCGCTGTCACGGACAATATCCCCCCAGCCGTGTCCTCCCTTCTGGAGACAGTACAAACCAAGTTCAATGGTTGCTCCTTGGAAATATTTCTAGAAGGCTTTTGTGATTATCTTGACCAGGCCGCCCTTGGGAAAGAACCGCTTGCGAGTTCCCCAGTAGATGACGACTTCGACGCCATCTCAGATGATGAAGATATTGCCTGGGATGAGTACTCTGATGCCCCACGGATGGACCATTCCGTGGATATGAAGCAACTGCGGACTGATCTTCGAGCAGCTAAAAGCGCAGGCTTCAAAGTCGGCTATCTTGGTGACCTGGAGGGCTCTTTCATTGTGTCTGTTTCCTGCCGCATTGCTAGCCTAGGCATTTCACAAGACGCTATGCAAATGTGGAATGTCTGCCCCAAGCATTTTATAGTGCTGCTTCTCTATTATCCATGGGGTTACCGGAGCCTAGACCACATTGTATCCCAGTCACAGACAGCTCCTTCGCCAGTCAAGATGTATGTCGGTCTTTGCGATAGGTACAAGCCCACGACAATGTCTATCCCAGAGACCCACCAGGAGATCTCGAGCCCCGGTGTATCAAGCTCGATGCCCAAGTCGGCTTTGATATCTTCGTTCATTACTGACCCGTTAGAGACCCTTCTCAATGATCGGTTTGTTAGTATTGTACAAGATCGACTCAGACACGGGTTCTCATGGACAGGTGCAGAGATATTCTACAATGACGCTCAGGGTAAGAAGCTAGATCCCAAGGATGCCAAGCTTCCCAAATACTTTGTTCCGGAGAAATGGGCCAAGTTCACACCCGGCTTCGTCCAAGCAGATGATCTGCCACAGCACACGGCACATCAGCTATCCCTTCCTCTCATTGCCATGCAATATAGCCTGCGCCGTTTTGTCAAGTGCACCGAATTCTGTCTGAACTGCCATTGCAAAATAGACACCAGTTTTGAGGCCCTGAAGCCATACGTTTGTTCCAGTCCGTTATGTCTATATCAATATATGCAGCTCGGGATGGGTCCCAAGCTGGAATGGGAGATAGTCACACAGCCGTATGTC